CACACACACACAGCATTATTAATTAATAATCAATTACTATGATTAATATTTATGACTTTAACAGCTGATTCAGTAATTTTGTGTTAGTAATGTAAACTAAAAAATGCGAGTCTTAACGAAACATAAAATCAATAAAACCAACTCGACTGCAGGGTTAATTTTGTGCTCAACGGAAGGTGGTCGCCTTTAGAAAGCAGGAAAAGTGGTTGGAAAATATCACCTGGCTCGCTCGTACGTCGATTTGAACAGTTGGACTACATTTCCCGTTGAGCTGAGGCGCTTCAGCTGTCGCCTGAACATGACGTCACGACACTTTTAAAAGCCGCTCGTTTTCTTCGTCACATCCTCTTTCCGTTGCTCTTCTCGCTTTGAGGTATGTTGAGTTTATTCCCCGCTAACAGGATCCAATTTAATCTGTTAATTTAACCGGTCATCCACTCTTACTGATCACTAATTGTTTTCATTTTCACAGAAACCTCTCCACACGATGAGAGCCAAGGTGAGGTAACAATCCAATATCGGTATTTCAGCTGTTTGTGTCCTCTTCCCGCGCCAGCTAATACTGCTAGCTCCTTCCTTAAGCTCTTCGTGTTTATATCATTAAATATACCCTGCTACCCAGCTCATTAAAATATTAATAGAATTTTAAGTGATAACAGGGCATTAGCTACATATAGTAGTATAAATGCTAATACTACTAGAAGCTTTGCTTTGGGGCATCTCGTAATGTTAGCACCGTAGCTCGCTGAGCCCAGGCAGCCATGCGTGTTTGAAAACTGAGATCTGCATGCAGCGTGACAAACGCCACTGAAATGCTTTTTAGTACAAACATGTACTGCATGTTCTGAGGCCCTGTAACTGTCTGCATCACAGTAAGCATGTTCAAGTAGTGGCGCAAATGTGGTCTTGATGTACTCTTAATGACTGTGCTTTTTCTCCCTTTTTTCAGTGGAGGAAGAAGCGTATGCGCAGGTAAGCATCATGATAAACGAAGAAAATGTCTTTGTCAGCCCCCTAATCCAAGCTGCTTAAATTTAGGCTAGACAGCTAGACAACACAAGTGTTTAGGCTTTGGAAAAGTTAGGTTTATAAGGAAGGAAGTCTTTGTTTTTTTGTTTTTTAAATTTAGTGGATATCATTGAGCTTTAACTGTAAAGTATGTTAGGTTGGGCTTGTTCAAACGTTGACAATTGTTTGCCCCTAGGTTTCAATTGGATGCAGGGAAAATTATATCTACTGAAAATGACCTGGGTTATATAGTTCCTGAGCAGCATTACTCCAATAACTGAAATTCAGTTTTCAGCCAAGTTTGTACAGTGTCAGTGTTTAATTTAAAGATGTACAGGTTTGTAACTGAGGGAACACTGTTAAAAAGCTTTACAAAATGAATGAATAAATGAATACATGTCAATGTAATCACAAACTCGCTTTGTTTAGGTGGTGATAAAAATCATTAAATAGAAAACACTCAATCTCTATAACTAGTATTACTGAATTATAGTTTAACAATTTTCGTTACTATCTTAGTCCTTGTGCTATTGAGTGTTTTACTGACCGCTGCTGTTGATTTCCAACAGGCTGAAGCGTAAAAGGAGAAAGATGAGGCAGAGGTCAAAGTAAGCCCCCCCTCCTGCCTGCCAGCTGTGATCACGTCTGAGCCTCTCCAGGTGACTGACATGCGGACGAAGGGGGATTGCTCGGCGGTTCCATCAACGAAATTAAAGGCCTAAACCCCCGATTTCAGATGACCACGCTTTTCACGGAGCCTGCTGTGACGGTCTGACTGGAAGATGGTGAAGATGCTGGAGAAGAACATGACTGCAGCTGCGTTGTTCATGGACCATAATGCATCTTGTTTCTGTACAATTGTTTGTGGTGTTTTGAACAATAAATGAACACTGTTAAATTACCACCAGTTGAAACCTCTTGATTTTTGTTGTAAAGTAAGGCTAGGTTGACTTACTTGTACTTGAAATGAATTACACCACAGGTGTCGAACTCGAGGCCTCAAGGGCCGGTGTCCTACAGTGTTGTGTCCTTGATCCAACACAGCTGATTCAAATGGCTAAATTACCGCAACATGTTGCAGTTGTCTAGAAGCCTGGTAATGAACTAGTCATTTCATTCAGGTGTGTTGACTCAGGGTGTTATCTAAAACCTCCAGGACACTGGCCCTCGAGGCCTGGAGTTCGACACTACTGAATTAGTGTGGGTTTTATCAGGGCTGTCACTCATGTCGTTTGAAGTGATGGCTAACTGCATGCAGGGAGTGTTAAATGTTAATGTGTTAGCTGGATGAAAAGAATTGGAGGCAAATGTAAATGCAGGTGATTTATCCAAGTGCCTTTGAGGAAAAATTGCTTTTGATCTGAAATCAAAAAGGTTAGTCTTTCAGTTGGAAGAGAACTTAAAGTACATGTTGTGTTTAAAAGCAGAGGTCAAGATTGACTCCTGTGTGAACTGCTAAAGGTCAGCTGTGACACAGAATCCTGGTGACAGTGTTTTTAGTTCAGTCAAGTTGTAAATTGCATCTTGCTGATGAAATGCTGCTATTCAGGGCCATCCCACAACAACAGTCATTCATTTCCATTATTTTTCATCTCCATTTTCAACCATTCTGATTTTTTGTTTTTAGCCCAATGACATAATGCAAAATCTGCTACATAGTTGCTCATTAGAAATAAACTTGTGTGAATGAAAAGATCAAGTATGGACATGTTATTAAAGTTAATAAAATTTCATACTATTAAATTTCTTGCAAAATGTATGAAATGTAGTTAGCGGCCCTCTACACTCCACCTCAGCGGGCTTGACCACCATGTACATTGCGAGAGCAAAGAGCATAACTGAGATGGTACAGCCTGTTATTATACCTTTCCTGAGGCGATGCCAGTCTGAAGTCACTGACCCAGAAGTGACCCTCAGTCTGAAATTGCCATAATAATCCAAGATCAGGTGCTTGATCTTGCTTGGAACATGGTGGAGGTGTAGAGCACGCCCGATCAGCTCGTGTGGGATAGACCCACAGGCATTGGTCAGGTCCAGCCACAAAACAGCTAGGTCGCCCTTGTTCTTGTGGGCTCCTCTTATAAGGTGTGTACGTCAGTGTGCTCTAGGCAACCAGGCCCAATTCTACTTTTTCTGCATAATCATCATACAAAATGTAATCAAATGGAAAAGTCTCTTTTTAAAACTTGTTTTATTAGTTTTAACCTTTTAACTTTATGCATCAAGCAAAAATTTAATTATATGCAACATTCTCTGACTGGAAGAAATTTGTTTAACATTTAAACTTATTTTCTGCACATTCCAGCACATAAAATATTTTTTTGTGTGTGTGTTTACACTCACTCTTTCAAATAGATGCAAGTAAAACACAGCAGAAAATAAATATTGCACCTGTAAAGCAGGAGTGGGGTAGGCAGGGGTTTGCTCTGGTGCAGGTGTGCCGCAGTGGTCAGTGGAAGAATCCGCGAGTTTCTCTGTGAGTTTCCCATTACGTGGTAGCGCACTTGGTGCTTGCTTGGAAGTTTAGGGGTTTTTTTTTCGCTGTAAAAAGAAGTTGTCTTCCCACGCACAACGGATACTAATGTTTTTGTCACTTTTTATGGAATCAAACTTAAAGTAAGGTCAGTACTTCCACGCTTTAAACGCTGCACGCTCATACTCTCCCGCACTCGATATGTGATCCATTGTTTATCTGCACACAGCTGTTGTCACGAACGTAGCACTCGCTTACGTCTCTGTCATGAGACATTCTCACAAAAAAAAATCACGATTTTAGTAACGCAATAACACAGCGTTCCTACGAGAAAGTAACAGTAATCTAATTACCGTTTTTGCAATAGTAATCCCTTACTTGTTACCTGAAAAAAGTAATCAGATTACGCGTTACTGCCCATCTCTAGTCCTGACTCTCAACAATCTTAGTTCTCAGACTGGAAATCAAATGTATGATTAAAACATAAGTTTAACTTATAAATACATGTTCATACTTTTATTTTACAATCAGAGAGAAAGAAAAAGAGAAGGGAAAGGTGCAGGTCAGACAGAAAGGTGACAGGCTCAGGTTTTATACACTAGTACAAAAATAGCACAAGGAGTATTTCCTGTTTTTATTAGTGTTTGTTTTATTAGGGGTACTAAATAAGATGGGAGCTAAATTTAAGTATAAAGTGGTTAAGTTTGTACACTGGCCAAATGTCTGGGTCCTGTGAATAAACTACTATTCTTTTACCTTAACAAGTGAACTGTCTCCTTGTTTCTTCTTAAAATAAATATGGCTCAACACCACCAACAGAATCAGCTAAGGCAGCAAAATAACCGAACTAACATTAACATTAGTGTAATCGATCGTGCTGTTTGTGCGGGGCTGTAAAAGTGATTTTAAGCTCAGTGTCAAGGTCCTCCTGTCCTCCACAGCTGTCTGCTAAGGTTTATGCAGCATTCACACCCTTTTTACATGTTTCAGCTTGTTCTGATTGTGGATATTCTGGCATTAGTTATCCATAAAATCATAATGTCTTTTTAATGTTAAAGTCGATCTTTGAACGACGTGCATCATAAAGTAAAAGCTTTAAAAGCAAGTGGAACCTGCATTAAGTACTAACCAACATCACTAATGTCACATAACTTTGCTGACATGCAGCCAAATTGAACTTTTTCATGATCTTTGTCATTGGAACATTTGTATCGCTGCACAAATAAGTGAGATAAAACCCAGTACTTACTTTTAAAATTTTACTTTTTGGCTGTCGCGTTTGAGCCATTTTTAAAAAATAGTATTTATTTGTTATTTCTAATTTCCTTTTTTAATTTGTTTCCTTTTTTTTATGCTTTTGCTGCGTTTATTCTGCTTTCGTTTGGCCCCTCGGGGCCACCGTAGTAATGGCATTTCAACAGTGTGCATTATGTAGCGATGTCGCCGGGGGGGCGCTATATTTCCAGCGGGTCCTGCACATTGATACGCCGTAGAAGAAGACTTAGTATTGTAAACACAAGGATATGGCTGACGAGAGGGGTGGAGGGGAAGACAACGCCAACGACAACATGGGGAACCAGTTACAGCTCTTACCAGGTACCCGTTAAGCTGACCGAAAGCCTGCTCGGTGTTTTCACCGGGACAGTGCGTTTCTCTTCCTCCTGCTAAATGCTAGCTAACACACCTCCACAGCAGGCCACTGTTAGTGATCACACTCACTATCTCAACCCTCTGCTTTCGCTTTCTTTTCAATTATGCCATCAGTGCGATTTATTAAGGTGAAGCTTTTACGTCTAAGGCTTGTCAACGAGCTACCTAACTTAGCCTCTCTGTGTACACTTGTGCGCTGTGACAGACAATGAGGAGGAGGAAGAGGAGGATGACATGGAGACCGAAGATCGAGACAGTGAGGAGGCAGAAAAGCCCAACATCATCACCTTTGACCCTAGTCTTCCCACATCACATTCAGTGAGTCATGCATCACAATCTCTCTTATTCTAACATCTATTTTTACATGATTTGCTTTCATGCATGTGATCCTTCTCAGAGTTTTAGTTTCTCTGCAGCTGCTGTGTTAATCTAACCCCCTTTTTGTGTGCCAGTACCTGGGTTCAGACATGGAGGAGTTTCATGGCCGTACGGTCCACGATGACGACAGCTGTCAGACCATTCCCGTGCTGCCACACACAGCTGTGATGCTGGTGCCGGGCCAGACGCTGCCTCTGCAGCTCTTCAGGCCGCAGGAGGTCAGCATGATGAGGAGCGTCATCCAGAGAGATCGCACTTTTGCTGTGCTCGCACACAGGTGTGTGATGCTGTTAAAATCTCTGTGTATGCTGGCAATCATGGAAAGATGCACAACTCCTACAAATGGAAAGCATTTTCTTTGTTTTCATTTGAAGAAAATACAGTTGTGGTCAGAAGGTTGCACACACTCATCATAGGCATGAATGTCACTGCAATTTTGGGCTTTTAATGATTTCTTTGAACTATATCAGAAGTTTGAAATTATTTTTGGATTTTCTCTAATCCATGGAGGGTTAAAGTTATACACTCTGGCTTACACACACTCACTTAAATCTTCAAATATGTCAAGGTTATGCAGTGTCTTTTAACCTGACAAGTCTTAGGTCTATTAATATCTCATTTCTGATCACGATTGACTACAACTGGTAGTGTCTCTTTCCCAGGATTGACCAATACTTAGAACAATGGGAAAGTCCAAGGACCTCACTATAAAACCAAAATGAATGTTTATGTTTTGTTTATTTGTTATGGTGGCACAGGTGTTTAGATTTTCCTGCACCTCAGGTGATTGCATGAGGGTGTGGTCACATGTTATTTACCTGACACTGGCGTCAGGTGAGGCTGCAAACCTAGTAACACAGTACTAGCTGCATAAATATGGTGGTGATAGCATCATGGTCCAGGTTTGTTTTGTTGCCTGTGGCTCTGGTACATGGCACAAAGTACATGAAATAATGAAAGTGTACCACCTCTAAATTCTTCAACTTTAACTCACTCACAGCTAGATGGTTAAAACTTGTATAGAATTGCATCTTTCAGCAGGGTAATGATCCCAAACACACACAAAAACTTGTTTTGGAATGGCTAAAGCAGGTAAAAGCTTCTGGAATGGTCTTTCTAAAGACCTCAAATCAATTGAAAACTTATAGACAACACTTAAAAGCCAGGTCCATACCAATCAATGAATTGAAACGCACTCTTAACAATTCTGCCAAGAAGAGTGGCAGATCCTCTGTGGATTATAGAAAATGGGTTATAGAAAATCCCAGATAAATTCAGGCTTGTGTACTCCAATTCTTGTTTTAATGTTTGTTTGTTTTGTTGTTGTTTTTTTAAGCCAAAATTACTATGGCATTCATGTCCACGTTGAGTGTGTGTGTGTAACCTTGTGACCACAGCTGCAAATTTCCATGACTCTTCTTTATGTAAACTGTTTCTTGTGGGTCACTGGTGGATAATTCTCAGCATTTCATTTCAATTTCTGCATCTGATGTGTGTCTGCAGCGATACAGGTGAGCCGGATGCAGAGTTTGGAACTACGGCTGAAATCTATGCATACAGAGAGGAGCAGGAGTACGGCATTGAAACAGTCAAAGTGAAGGCTATAGGGAGGCAGCGATTTAAGGTCCACGAGATAAGAACTCAAGCAGATGGGTAAGTTGAAGTTCCCTCATAAAGCATTAAACCAAAGGTGGGGGCTGAATTCTTACTGCCAATCCCTGGTTCAAAGATGTGCGACAAATCAACAAAGCCACACATAACCCTTAAAAAATGCCAAATGAAATCAAATATATGCAAAGGAAAAAAATGCAGCCAGCTGTGGAACAGAAAATGGGTGCAAAACATTTTTCTTGTTTAATTCAGAGTTTCTGCAGTAAAAAAAGGAAACTTTGTTTCTTGCATTTAGTGAGACAGCTGTTTTCTACAGGAGTTGCATACCTGCAGGTTTTCAGCCTAGTCAGAAGCACATTTAGATGAGAAGGAAAACTATGTCAATAGTGGCACAGAGACACACCGTCAACAGTCACACAGTATTTGACCACTAGGGGGCAATCTAACACTTGATAAAATCAACTAGAAACACAGGTTTTTATTGCGTCACAAACTGCTTCAAAACAAGTAGCATGGAGGCTGTCTCTAATAGATTTACTTAAAAGAAATGTAGTTTCTTAAAACATTTGTTCGTGGAAACCAGAGATTACAGCAATTCAGCATCGCGCGGATGTGCATGTGGATGTGTAGAGGTGATGTCAGCTCTATACCTATCTATATTACCAAGAGGTGGTAAACAGGCACTATACAATATGAGATATTATGATTTTGAACATTCTGCAAAATGTTGTGTATTTTAATAACATACTGTATATTGCAATTTATCATCAACTGCAAAGTATCTCTTTTATCCAGTAAGATAATGTTATGTCATTTTAGTTCTTTTTTTTTTTTTCTTTTTGCTGCAAAATGAGATTGTCAAGCATAACAACACTTATCACTAAAAGTCTGTAATCAGTCTACCTTTGAATGGGGCAAGTTGGCAATTACATGCAATCTGTTTCTAATAATTCAATGGTAAATCATTGAAATTTGCATAATCTGTTGCTGTCTACATAAACTGAAATTCACATTTAACTATTACATTTATGCTCAGCAGTCTTCCTCTTCTATTGGAAAATAACCAGAATACAACCAGCTGACAGTCAGTTGTGTCGAGTCCCCTCGAGTTGTGCTCAGTGACAAAGACTCATTCAGACTGATGGCAAACTGTCTGCATTTATAAATTAGACAGCATGTCTGTGCAAACCTTTAACAGTCTCTCTGTGAGTGACTGCAGTCAGTTCAAATCAGAATGTGACTGTTTGCAGAAAGGTTGTCTCCTATTGGGTGATCTGTGCATTCGCCTTATGACTGCACAAGTGGTCATGACTGTGCAACACTCAAGTTCTGGGCAACCATCTCGCCACCATAAGTCCTATTTTTACTTGCGTCACTGAGTCATTAGCTTGCTTTTAATTTGGAAGTAGCTTTGTCAAGCTAAGCGTGTCCAGTGTTGGATGGTTTTTCGGTTGAGATGATTTAATGTAAGTTTACTTGGCTAACATTATCACAGGATGATGATGATGCATGAGATGCCCTCTCGTGCATAGTACTCCCAGAGTATTTTAATGTATTTAATAAAATATCAATATTTAGTGTCTCCAGATCCATACAATATCACCACACAAAATCACAATCACAATACTATGCTATAGCAATATTTTTTTCACCGCCTCTAGAATCATCCTCACATGTTGAAATTTGTGAAGAGGGCTGTTGCAACAACAGATTTACGTTTCTGACTTATTCCAGAGTTCAGTTGCAGCTGCGTAAATGCAAAGCATATTGTCTTTTTGGACTGAAAACAAAGGAAGCATTGATAAAGATGTATCTATTGAAGTCATGTAATAGATCATATTAACCCACATCCTCCCTGGAAATCATCGGCACATACTGTCCATAAAAATGAGGCTTTATTAAGGCATTTTCCTTTTCTCTAATTGAGGTTATATAATACACATACAGTGGTTGCCATGATTGTGTTGACCTTCTGTTGTGACTCTTGGAAAATACAGCATTTAATCAATCACTCAATTACATGCAGTCTGCTCTTTCTCTTGTTAAAATTAAAATATACTTTGTACTTTTTCTGTCTATTCTTTCTATTTCACTAAACATCCTCCCTGTAATGTTTCTAAGATTTCCTGCAGAGGGAAATATTTGTAGGGTGTGTCAGGGATAAGAATCTGCCTTTCATGGGTGGAGGTGGAGGGTTATCAGTCACATCCAGTAGAGACAGTGAGTCTGTGTTACCTTATTTGACAGAGGTCTGTGCATTTTCCCAATATTTTATATAGTTTGATAAACAAAATGTGTATCATGCTACAGAAATTACACCCCAGTTAACAAACCCTTAAAATCTCTTGACTTTTGTCCCCCCTCTTTGAGAATGGCACCAAGCTCATTATGTGGAAGCTCATAATTTGATATTTGAGTCTGAATTATTACTTTTTTTTGGGAGGGGACTATGACAAAATGTCTCTCAGATGTGTAAAGGAATGAAATGGCTTAGTAATTATATTTTAGATCAGATTAAAAGGTCAAGTCTGGACAGACATTGATTTAGCCCTACAGCTGTGAGGCAGCGTTTCTTGTTTCTCTGTGGTCTGGCTTTGCTTTGTATTTCTCTGCACGAAGTTCACTGAGAATAATCTGTGTCGGGCACTGGCAAAATATTTCTTATTGTCGAGTGAGGGAAAAAACCCAGATGGTACCTTTTGTGATCACCTCAATGATCCAAACATCCTGTAATGTAGTGTTTGGCCAGTGCACCATTTGTTTAATCTACTATTCGCCTGCTCAGTTTCACTCATATTCTGCTGTCATCATTCACATTTCCCTTCTTTTGTGTCACGGGTCTTTGTTATTGTCTGCTTTTGTTCCTCTTCTCAGGATCAAACAGGCTAAAGTGCAGATCCTTCCAGAACGAATCCTTCCAGACCCCCTCTCCGCTGTGCAGCTAACGCCTCTCTCCAGGCTCCACATGCACCCTTCTTCCAAACCTCCAAGTCAGAGCTGCAAACAGGCTCAGTGCTGGTGGAATAACTACAAACAGGTACAGAGAATCACGCACAAACGTGAAATCTGTGTGCGCTTTCTAAAAGTAACAGTTTCTACTTTTGGAGATGTTTGAATCAGATGACAGTGATAAGAAAGCTAAGATTAATTTCCTCATCTAAGATGCAAAATGTATTTTTCCACTTTGAGAAACTGTTCAGTAAAACATCAGATCAGTCGGTGCCTGTTCAAATAATCAAAGCCTAGTTTTGTGTGAAAGTGAAGACCTGAAATACATTCAAAGAATTACTAGAAATATGTGGTGAAGTTTCCATTTGAATCATGAGCAAAATGAGCATTTTCACCCTGAGACTGAATCCCACCCTAATCCTATACTGTTAGATCCAAAGGTTTTTGGACAGTGACATAAAAAAGATTATGCCTCTCTACACCACCACAGTAGATTTTAAATCAAATCACATTTTTTTCCTAAAATGTTGCATTAACTACCTAAAAGTAATTGGACAAACTAACATAATGTTAATTACATGGAATGTCTTTAATACTTGATGAAAGTCTGTGGACATAATCAAAAGCTGTTTCCTCCCCTGAGATCCTCTGCTAGACCTTGGCTCTCTCTGCCTTTAGTTTTGTCTTTGATAACTGAAAAGCATGCTCTGTTGGGTTGAGATCAGGTGACTAACTTGGCCACCGAAGAATATCTAAAATATTTTGCCTTGAGAAAATCTCAGCTTGCTTTTGCAGTATGTGTTGGGTCATAATCCATTTGCAGTGTGAAGTGCAGGATTTGGTTGAATCTGAGCAGACAGAATAGCCCTGTACACTTTTATCAGTCATTCATCCTCCTGCTTCTATCAGCAGTCACATCGTCAATAAACACTAGTGGTCCAGTTCCACTGGCAAACGATACATGCCTGTATCATGACACTTCCTGCACTATGTTTCACAGATGTATTTTGATTTGGCTCAAGGGCTGTTTTTTTTCCTTCTCCATACTTTTCTCTTCCTAGCTCGTACAAGTTCTTCTTGGGTTCATCTGTCCAAAGAACTTATTTTAGACCGACGCGGGCTCTTTTAGATGTTTTCTGGGAAAGTCTAATCTGTCCTCTTATGGCTGAAGGGGTATTGTCGTCATCACAGTTAGCGGGATGAACTCGAGAATGAGGCAATGTTTGAATTTAATACAGTGGGTGCAGCTAATAAAAATCTCAACGACCTTGAGTTTGAGCCCAAGGTCAAGTTTTCTGAAAATCTTTTAAACGCAGTAACACAAGAAGAAGTTCATGTAGGGTTTTGAAATTGATCCCACAGGTGTCTCTGCTACTAGGGTGAGTCATACCATTGGCGATTATCAGTGTTTTTGTTCTTTAGTGTAACCAGTAGTTTGCACCTTCTTGTAAATCCTCCTTTCCCAATCATGAAGTCATCTCTTAATTGTAGACTTTGACAATGATGCAACTGTATCTCACTGAGTGTTCTTGACTTGGTCAGATGTTGCTATTAAATTAATTTGGTTATGATCATTTGGTAGGGGTCGTCTGTGGCCTTTCAGGCCTTTGATTGTTGATTTGGACCTAAAGTTTGTGCTGTCCCTCGTAGGTTTATTTACTTTTTTCAGTCTAATGATGGCCTCCCTCACTTCCAACAACATCTCGCCAACGAGGGAAGAGACCTCATCTGCCCATTATACTGATTAACAGTCAATTGTCCAATTACCTCTGAGCCCCTGAAAATTGTTATTAAAAACAATTTTAAAAAAAACCCCAAGATAAAAACGTCTCTAACTCCTAAACTGTTAATGCAGTTAGTAAAACTACTTGAATTAAAGCTGAAATCCTGCCAATTCAAACGCATTTTGATTGTCTGATTCAGATCTGTTGTGATGAAGTACTGAGGCAAAATTGCAAAAAATGTGTCATTGTCCACAAATTCTGGGATTTTTACCTCCATAAACTGTAAATGGTAAAAAAAAAAGATAAGCATCTTTTTTCTGTCTTGTAATATTAAATACTGCCTACATTTAACTGAGTGCTGAATTAGCTTGATATTTTTATGGTTCAGCATGTTTGAAGTTGGGCATGCTAATCTTTATTGTTTGACATTTCCAAATACAACCTGTACATATAACCTATGGTGTGTTTAGTTAGTACATAGTTCATTTTAATCCAGTTCACTCACATGAATTGACTAGTTGTTGCAGCTGATGTGTTTCATAATGTAAAGATGTGAAATAAATCAATATAGTTAAAAACAGTAGAGAAAGTGACTTAGTGCAGATGTGTTGGCAGGTGTTAGATTGTTTTAGTAGGAGAAAATGTTAATGTCTACTGTTAAAGGAGAATAAGTAGATGACATGTTAAGGTATCTGTGCAGGTGATATTAACACTGGATGTGAAAGTAGCCCATGTGCAAAACCGTGACCTGGAACATGCTACTTTTACTTCTCTATATGACAAAGGGACGGATCTTGTGTTGCTTCCATAATCATCAGATTAGATTTGATTTAAGTGATACATGTGTTATTGACCACAGAGAAAGTTTCACTGTGCCAGTCTGACGCCATGGCCACCCTGGGTCTACGCACTCTATGATTCAGTAAGTACTGCAGCCCGCGGCACTTCCTCCTCTATATATATAAACATGACACACAAATGAATATAAACCAAGATTTCTCGGCTTTTGGTGGTTCACCTTACAGGAGTCGCTTATGAACAGGGTGAAGAAACAGCTTCACGAATGGGATGAGAATCTGAAGGATGATTCCCTCCCGGCGAATGCAGTAGGTCAGACTATGTTGATTTTATTCCAGAGGGTACAGGTACAGATGCAGACAAAATTATTACCTCCCCTATTATTAAAGTGATGAAGTCAAGGGGAATTTCTACATAGCTTTTCTAAACACACTAGTTTTTTTGCAGAATGTCACTTGAGAAAGTGTTGTGCCAAAAATAAAATAAATAAGTTTAGATTTAAGAAAAGGAATTGTTGATGGTCACAAGGCAGGAGATGGATATACAAGGTTTTCTGAGAGTCACGAATTGGAGTGAGACGTATCAATAATAAATTCAAAGAGAGCTATTAATACAGAGCAAGCCTGGCAGAGGCAGGAAGCCAAAAAGGCTTCCAAAGGCTCTGGAATGAAAACTAGTGAGAAATGTGTTTAAAGACCCCAGAACAAAATGCAGAGACACTAGTAAATGATTTAGCAAAGTCAGAAATTGTAGGATCAAAGGACACTCACTGGAACGCCGCACAGGAATGGACTGCAAGGTTGCTGAAGGGGAAAAACTCCACTTCTGTAGAAAAAGACACTTTTAAACCAGACTGAAATATGCTAATGACAACCTGTAAAAAGATTACGCAGAACTATTTGGCCACAGAAACGTTGCTTATATCTGGAGGAAGAAGAGCGGTGGACAGCCCAGAGAGCACCAAAATGAAACATGGTGGTCGGAGTGTCATGTAGGGATTCTTCGGTGCATCTGGAACTAGGAATCTCATCAAGGTGGAAGGAATAAAGAAGAAAGACATGGAGATTTTAAAAGAAAGCAGTCAGCAGCATAACTGGTTCTGGGTCATTGCTTTGTCTTCCAGCACAGTGACTCAAAACATACATGGCTCCTGGTGAAGAATTGCTATCAGAAGACCAAAGTGAACATTACTGGCTAGTCTGCACAAAGCCCTGGCTTGAATCCGAATGAAAATTTATGGTGTGTACCGAAGACCAGAAGGAGGAGGGGGTGGTGGAGATTGACCAAAGAAGAATGGGCTGGGATTGCTCAGAAGACGTGTGTGAAAACCACAACAAAATATCTGCAAGGTGTTACCCAGAAAAAAGGATACGCAATAGATTATTAGCATCAGGGGGGTTAATAATTTTCACCTGATTGTTTCTGTTTCTTGTGAAATTGTTTTGTTTCTGTGTGCAAAGTAAAATATGGTACGCAATCCCCATTGGGAACTACTTTTTTAGGGGGGCTAATAATTCTGTCCTCATCTGTATGTAAACATGCACACTCGCAATTTGTTTGTGTTCGTTGTACTTTCTGTCCTCTTTATTTCATCGCTCTCTTGTCCTTCTGTCTACGCTCTGTCAGATTTCTCCTACAGAGTAGCAGCCTGTCTGCCCATAGATGATGCTCTGCGGCTCCAGCTATTAAAGATTGGCAGCGCCATCCAGAGACTTCGCTGTGAGCTAGACATTATGGATCGGGTAAGTAAAAGTCACCAACAGCCTCGCTGACCTGCCCCAAACCTCAGACATAATTTGTCTTATGCAGTGATAAGATTCCTACTTGTGCTTTACTGAGCACACAGTGTCCCTCTGGTGTGTCTTGTTATATTTAACCATGTCTGATGGGGGCTGACAGATGTGTTAGTGCTGCAATATTTCAGTTTTCAGAGTCAAAAGCAGCCATTGCAGCATTTAAGGTTAATGGACCGGTATTTAGCATGCAGTGAACATCAGCTGTTTGTCACCTTGAAGGGGTTGATCTGATTTTAAGGAGTGGTTGGACACAGCAAGAGAGCTATCCATATTTCAATTAAAGAAAAAAACTCAAAACAAAGCACTCTGGCCACTGTAGATCTGCTTTTACTCAGTCATGTGGGCCAAAGCAGTCACAGGTTGTTTTTAGCCGTGTTAGCAGTATGGCTTTGTAGTAAGGACACTTATGCTGGTCAGTGGTTTCATCACTTTGCTGCGATTGAAATTGCTTCGTAATTGTTACATTTGGCAAAAACATTTAACTCCCACTCCAGATGATTTGAAATCATCTCTGGTCTGGTAGCTGTTCTTCTAATCCCTTTAGTCAGGTCCGCTATTTACAGAGACTATTCTTCAGGCCCTCTTGAGTCATTGCTATACTTGAGCACAGGAAGACATGTTCCACACATGCTCAGTGGAGAACAGCAATAGCTACTTTGTTTGTGTTCATCTGAAGAGGATGACAAAAAGCTATGTGTGAGTGCTTAATGAGAGTAAAATCAAAGAAGGGAAGGAGAGGAGTTGCATTAAAGCTCCTATATTGTGTAGCGTATTGGTTAATACGGAGACGGGTTACGCCCTCACGGGGCTTTCATCAGCATCAAACACACATTGTTTACTCCTTCTTCTCTTAGATACTCCCATTAGGACTCCACACTGTTGATCATCCATTTTCATCTCTCCCAGTCTTTTTTGTCTTTCTCTGTCACATGTCCAGCACCTGACTGTCTGCTCTCACAACATCCACAAACCTCTTGTGCCTTCTTTTTTTCCCCCTCTTGCCCAGAAGCTCAAACTTTAATAACCTTCTCTTAAAGATAACCATCATTTCTCCTTCCTCTCCATTTTGTCCCTGAGCCTTCCCTCTAATATGCTCATTCCTAATCCTGTCCATCATTTTCATTCCCAGTGTAAATCTCCTTAGCATGAGAAACTACCTACAGTTCTGCTTCCTGACCTTTTATCTCGAACCTGCAATTGAGTCCATATGTTTCTGTGACATTTCTTGTCATTTTGCCTCTGTACACCAACATAGTGGATTTTATGTACTCAAGATTGAAGTGATTGAAGTGCAGCGTTTTAGCTTTCATTCAAAGGTTTTTTACAGAAAGCTTTGTATTACCTGTTTAGGAATTTTGGCAATTTATGTGCATAGTCCCTCATTTTCAGAGGTACAAAATGAACTGGACGATTGACTGACAAGGCTAGTTGAAGCCTTTTCCCCGTTATTTAATGAGAAATAAAGTATATGTAATATATGTAAGTTAAGATCATCTAACTAAGTCAGGTTCTGTCAGGTTCTCCAATCAAGAGTCTTCTTCATGAGTTTTAGACTTTAGGCTCCTTATTAAAATTATGTAATTTTTTTTTCAGTTGCTTTTGAGTCTCTGAAAATGGGAGACTGTATAAAAATGGCTGAAATCCCCACACAGTTAATGCAGGACTTGAAGCGTCTGGAATTAAAGCTCAAAGTCTACAATCTTGATTCTTTAATTTGAAACTCACTGTGGTGGTGTAAAGGTGCTTAATTACAACAAATTATGGACCTAACTGTATATGACACACCCGATCTCACTGCCACCTTTCCTTTTACTTCCATCACAAATCATCCTGATATGCTCTTCACCTTTCTTCCATGACCGGCGGCTGTCTGAATGGACAACACATCTGATGTCGTAGTGGCTCACACTATGATATCAGGGTCTTAATCTAATAACAAATTTTAAAAAAAAGATTGCAATCAAGGTACTTAAAAATATTAAATATAAATCACAACAACAGTCGCCTCATAGCGGCTTTATATTGTAAGGTAGACCCTACAATGATAAATTCAGAGAAAAACCCCAAAATCATATGACCCCCTATGAGCAAGCGCTTTGGCCACAGTGGGAAGGGAAAACTCCCTTTTAACACGGAGAAACCTCCAGCAGAACTAGGCTGGCCTGGACGGGTGGCCATCTGCCGCGACCGTTTGGGGTAAGAGGATATGTTAAGCTGTTTGATGGCAGCACCACGTCTCTGAAAGCTGGGATGAAAACAAAAAAAGTCTGGGAAAGGAAGCAAGGTACTAAAAAGAAATCATTTTGCAACTAATGAATTAAATTGACAAGAGGCCAGTAACATGAGTGGGTATAACATTTTTTTTTTAAAAAGCACCTTAGAGAGGTAGAGTTCCTCAGAAGTAAAGATGGGCTGGCCTTCACCAATCTGCAACAAATTGTTCTTCAGTGTAAACATACAGTACGTAACATCAAATGACTCAGAGAAGAATAGGACAACATTCCTCTCGTCAGTTCTTAGTCATTTACAGACTGATTTACTAACATGTTTTCTATGTTGTGAATGAAAAATGGTTTTTTTTAAAAAAAAAAAGGTGTGGCTCTAGTCAGTTAGCCAAATCCAAATAATAAGGAGTAAAATTAGAAAAACAAACAAACATCTAATTGGTTAGCAAGCTCAGATGACTGATTCAGGAGGAGGATGGTAAGTTAATGTTAATGCCTAATGTTTTTCCAGGCATGTTTATATAAACAGTGATCAGTGTGTCGCTCTTGTGTTGAATCAGAAGCTGAAGCTTGATTTGTGAAGTGCTCGTTAAATGTGTTTGCCCATTATCTGTTGTCCCTTCTTTCTGATTGAGGATAATAATCCCTCTCACCAACGACACTGACGTGACCTGAGCTCGGGCCATGTTTTGAGTCGCATTTGTGGAAGCGTGACGAATGGCATGATTAATATAACGCCCTCAATGAGCCTCAACAGTGGACGCTTTGCTTTGAAAATATGTGACATGTATACATATTGTTAAAACCCTCTTTTCTCTCCTCCTCCTCAGTGCACGTCGCTGTGCTGTAAACAGTGCCAGGACACGGAAATCACCACAAAAAATGAGATCTTCAGGTGAGCGCTTGTTTTTGATTTTTGTTAAAATAGTAGTTGATAGTGATCAGCACATAGTGGTTCCGTCTCAGCACTAGTAACATCCTTCTCACATCACTGGAAATTTGGATTCAGTAATAGAATAAAAGATGATGTAACCAACTTCACAGATTTCACAGATTTCCATGTTCAAGTCGGCAGTTTTTCCTGCTTTTAACAATAATGGAGTGTAGTAGACTTTTATAGTTTTTTGAGTTGTTTCCGGAGCAGCTGGCATAATTGGGGGTGGAGGTTTATGACAGTTTTATTAGGTCTTATTATCCAAGTTCTTCTTGGTTTTTTTTCTTCATTGTAATCACTGAAATTATTAGCACGTCAAAGTTAAGACCAATTTGTCTGTCTGAGAGTTACGTAAACTCTGGGGTTACATCAGGAAAGTAAGTGGTGCTTCTCTACACCTCCTCACTCACACAGTCTCTTATATGCACACTGTTATATAATGTCATTTTCTGACGGTTTGCTGTGTAATGGTTAATCTGTTTGTCCAACAGTGACACAAAAAACCTTGAACAGTCATGAAATTGCCCAGAACATTCTTAGGGGTTTATGAGAAAAGTGCACTCTCTGTTTTGTCATCCATATAATTTGAGTCAGTGAGTGATTATGTGTGAGAGAGGCAAGCAGACTAATAGTTGAAGCACTGCCTCTGACGAATTTACATACTGTATGGTGCTAATGCATCTTCTTTCAATGCCAGAGCAGAAGTACATTAAATGTAACCAAATTACCGCTTTAAAGACTGACTGAAAATGAAGTTTTTGGGGCTGATTATACTTAGTGTGTTTGTGTGTGTGGGACATCAAAATGTCTTTTGATGTGTCATTTCTGATTGTGTTTGGCTTTTGATACTTTAAACCTTATTCATGGTGTGGGTTTAGCGCTGTACAGGAGCTGCTCTACCGCCTGGCTGTAGCGGTAGAGCAGCCAGGCGGTAGAGCAGGTCACCTACTAATCGGAAGGTTGGTGGTTCGATCCCTGGCTACTCCAGTCTGCATGTCAAGTGTCCTTGGGCATCGGAGAGCAACCCCAAGTTGCTCTCCAATGCATCCATCGGAGTATGAATGTGCGTGACCGTAGTTAGGAAGCACTCAGTATAGAGAAAGTGCTTGTGAGAATGGGTGTGATTGGGTGCATGTGGCATGTTGTATAGAGCGCTTTGAGTACTCCAGGAGAGTAGAAAAGAGCTATACAAGAATCAGTCAATTTACAATTTTACCACTTACAGTACTGTGCAAAAGTCTCGAGTCATCTTCATTTCTTTATATTTTGCTTCCAAGCAGCCAGACTTTCTTGTAACCTTTTCAAGTTGTTTTAAGCAATAGTTCTTCAGACTTTTCTGAAGGTCTTTGGAAGTTTTCCGTTCGACATTTTCACTCCGTTTCAGTGTAAACCTTGTAACTGACCATTTTGAGAGGAATGTTTTTATTTATTAAGCCACGTAACACTGACCTATGGATCATTCAAGCATAAAAAAGACACCTAGCTCAAGTGATGAACCAGTATTGTGTCTAGACGTAATACAAACAACCAATTTTAAATGGCATCTTTAGGTACTTTGTTACTGGCAGCCTACTACAAAGCACATAATTTAATCACATTTGTTTTTGTTGACTCTATAATAAATGCCACAGATAATACAGTTTACAGCATAAAATAGTATTTTTTGCACCAACAAGGTGATTCGCAAAGAGATATTAGGAAAACCTGCCATTGTCTATGGTCTGTCCTTAAAGAAATGTAGGAATACTGGACAGGACAAAAGAAGAAATGACAGGCTGAAGTAACATCAGCAGATGAACAATATCGGAAAGTCTGAAAGACGAATCCAAATTTGAAAAATGCACAATGGAACGATATCAGCCTTGGCTTAGCCTCTCCAGGTTATTGAAACAGTGTGGGATAATCTTGACAGCACAAACAAAAGACAGTCAAAGAAGCTCTTTGAATGTCCTTCAAGAAGCCTGGAGAACTATTCCTGAAGACTCCTTAAATAAATTAGAAGAAAGCTTTCATAAGTAAGTTCAGGCTGTGTTGAAGTATAAAGGTGATCATAGTAAATATTGACTTTCAAGCTCATTTTACAAACTCTTATTTTACCTTAGATACTGTATTTCATTGTATCATTGCACATGTTTTAATAAATCACTGCACTTTCTTCCCATTTTTCTCCAGGGATGAGTTGAAACTTTTGCGCAGTCCTTTTGAGTTTCTAAATTTCACTCTTAGCTCCATGAAAAGGAGCAAATGTTCTCCTCCAGCTAAAGGTAGATGACAAATAAAGGCAAAACCCCCCCCCCCATCATAAGAAGCCTTAACCTCAGCCTAACATAACAGCTTCACTGGTCCTGGAGATGAACACCACTCCTCTAAAAGACATTTCCTCATTTTTTCTCTCTCCATGTTTTAATGATGCCACTGTGTAATCAGACCAAATGGGTTGTTATCTGGTGGTGCTAAGGTCTTAGCATAAGATTCATGTTATTTTCATATTCTTCTGTCACTCTGAAAGAGATCATGACCAACAGGAGAGAGGTGATTTCTCCCACTAAGGCAGGAAGTGGATACCAACCATGCCAGTAAAATGCCTTCACGGTATATCAGAGCCAAAGTCCTTCCATCTAGTGGTCAAGCATTCAGTTTTTAAAATTGTGTGAGTCATGCGTACACCTGCAGTTTTATGTTGCATTTTTAGCTTAGCTGAAAATAGCACTGATGAGATTCAAAGTTCTTAAGAAGCTCCACTGAAAACATTACCCAAAAGAGTTAAAATGCTCTAAGAAGGAAACGATGAAGACAGAAAATTTGTCTTTATTGTTAATATAAAAATGATGAGCACAGCTGAACTTTTTGGCATTTTCAATTTTAGACCTCTTAAAGCCCGTTTCCCCTTTTCATTTTCAGTGTCTCGCTTTCATGATGTTTTGTTTTGGCTCAACAGTTTACTGAATTCACACATTTTCCACCTGCCTCTCTCTCTCTCTCTGCCTCTCTCTGCAGCCTGTCCTTGTACGGCCCCATGGCTGCGTACGTCAACCCTCACGGTTACGTCCACGAAACGCTGACTGTCTACAAAGCCAACAACCTTAACCTGGTTGGAAGGCCATCTACGCTGCACAGCTGGTTTCCAGGGTAAATATTTTTAGCATACAGCATGAGTGTGCTTTCCATAAATGGATGTTTTAAGTAAGAGACACATCTCTTGATACCTCACAGCCCAGGGCTTAGAATTTAATGGCATCTGGTGTAGCTGCAAGTTGCTGTGACACTGCTCAGTGCCTGAAATTAATATGCTTTGTACTGTACTTTGTGTCAACTTGGTTATCAATGGTGCATCTCTTTATGCATGTTCAGGTTGTGCAATCTTGGATTCTGCAGTCAGTGAAGCCTCCAAATTACTTACACTAATAATCCGCTCATCCTTCTTCTCCTGCTTTTCCCATTCAGGGTCACAGGGTGTTAGTCTGTCCTACCTGCCATAGGGCAGAAGTGAGGGTAATCCCTGGACAGGCCATCAGGCTGTCACTGGGCTCATTTAGTAATTAAATAACCCAATTTAAATTCCTGCAACATGATACCTGTGCAAAGCACTTTATGCTGACAGTAATGTCAGTTTTTCTTTTAAAATTTTAAGATATTTTTAAGGTTGTATCGCTGAACTACACTGTGAGAGATTTGGTGAATGATAACAGAATTAAACAGACCTGTAAGAATCTGTTTCAGAGTTTTAGAAGTTGAGGTTTAGATTCGACCAGGCGAATCAGACTCCAGAGTGGGACTTGTGATTTGGTTCTGTCGCAGACTAAAACAGTCACACTGTTAAGAGGAATGAGTTTGGACACAAATGACTTCTAGACCAATTTTACTTTTCAGTGCAAACGTGATCTGACCTCATTCCGACTCATCTGAGAGATGTACACATAAACAACTCCAGCAGCTGTGCATGCTCTGAATATTGATACACAGATGAGCAAAATCAACAGTTTCTGTAGTTGCAAACCACTACTTATGTTTTTTCTGCCACATGATAAAATGGGCTACTCCAGTATAATACAGAGTTATTCTAGAAGTTTCTTGAGACATGGTTTGCTTTTGTTTTGTTTTTGCTTTGACTCTGGGCTTACAGAGTAATACTGTGAACCTCTTAGTGATGTGAATTCAAGGTATATTTGACTTTCTGTACGTAGTTTTCATTTATATGTTTCACCTTTACTGTACATGTGATTCGGCGCGTTTTTTACTGAGACATCGTTGAATCTATTCTTATGGCACACTCACAGGGAGGACTGTGTTGGCATTAACTTGGAACTTGGAAGTCATCTAATCATGCGGCAATAGAGTACAGTGCATAAGTCTTAAGTTGCACTTTATTTTTTTATTTGCATTGTTTTCTTGCCTCCAAAGAGCCGGACCTCCTTGTAATTTTTAAAGTGGTCCTGAGCAACAATTCTTCAGGCTTTCTGCTTGTAGCAAAGTGCCAAAAGTATACACAGTACTGTATGCACTACTGATCACAAATGTGAAAATGTGGCACTTTAATTGCTTTCAGGTACGCCTGGACGATTGCTCAGTGTCGAACCTGCGGATCCCACATGGGTTGGAAGTTCACAGCCACCAAGAAGGACTTGTCTCCACCTCGTTTCTGGGGTCTGACCCGTTCAGCCATGCTCCCTCGTATCCCACAGAGTGAAGGGGAGGAGGGCAGAGAGGGTTCTCGCCTCTTCTGTCTGTGATACCAGACCATCTATTTGCCTCATTCAGAAAATTCCTGCAAACTTCCCACAGTCTGCATCTTTAGCCACTGTCTGGCTGCAGTTTCTTCAATCACAATGCCTGTCACCCCTGGCAACAAATTCAGCATATTAGCAGAAAGGTCATTTTGGCCTTCAGATGGCAATTTTTAAGTGCATATTTGAACAGGCTGGATGTAATTATTATTCTAAAAGGTTCTTAAAATGCGGAGGCAGTGTCGAGGTTGAAAGCAGTCTGTTAGAGTGAGAGTCAAACTGAGACTTGCAGAATAGACCATGATATGTGGTTAAGATCCCAGCATGCAGCTGCCTGATCTGCACCTCTTTCCAGCTGTTTTCCAAATAGAAGAACACACAGACCCACAGGGGGACGCTGAATGCATAATATTCTTTACCTTCACCTCCTCTCCTCTGTCTTAGCTGGCTGCATGCAGCTAAAATTGAGATGTCGTCAGCAAGCTGCGATGGCCTCTTTAAGCTGTTGTAAAATCCACACACAGTAATTTAATAGTCTAGCATTCAGATCCTTTGTGAGTTTCTCAGATAGGATTTCTAATATTATTATCAGCTGCGAGAGACCGGTGGAGAAAACTGTTAGAAAGAGAGTGCACTCATGTATGTGTAGATCTGTCACGATAGGAGATATTTTGAATTTTGGAATTACAGCGGATGTATTTTTGTATGCAAGAAGGTTGGAAATTAAGCTAACATATTCATTGATGTTTGGTGAAACTGCAATTTGTTATCACAGTGGATTTGTTTTGTTCGAAACAAAAGAAACTGAAGTGACAATAATGATATTGTGTAATATATCTGATATAATCTTGTGTCTGTTTTGTATTCACTAGAGACTCATTATCCCATCTGGAGACGAGTATCATCTTTGATTGCACGAGTGAAAATTAGCGATGCATTGGTGCCTTGCGGCAGACTGTTTATCAAAGGTCAAAGCCCACTGAGACAGAGCAAGAGGAGCATTTACCCTTCTTTTAGTTTGTTCACGCGTGGTATGTTAAAATGGTGTGCCTACGCTTCAGCTCGGTGTCTTTTGAAGTGCGAGGAATCGGATTCAGAAAGGCAAAACGATGATAAGATTTAAGAGTTATTATTAATATTATTATTTTAATATTCTCTTGGGTTTGTAGGGTGACAGTTTTCAGGATTCTGTTGCAAGGGTAATGGCTCACGTCTGTATTTATGTACGGTAAAACTGAGGCAGTATTTGTTGTTTATATGGCTGTCGACCGACTGTTTGTAGAGTCTAATTTATTTATTTTTTTGCAAAACTCTTTTGCTGATTCTTTGTTAGGAAATTATCTTTTTATGAGTAAGCTGAGTAACACAATGAGAAATCATCTCGAATGTTTGTCTGATGACATGTTTTTGGATAGAGAACATCATTTTTTGGATAAACGCGTCTTTTTCTTCACTTTTTCTGCTGAGAGAGGAAAACATTGTTCATGTCTGTGGATCACATTAAAGTGGCAATAGATACATTTTAACTTTACCCCTCTACCCTTCCAGCAATGCTGCAAAAACTGCAACACTTTCTGTTTACCCCCCCCCCCCAAAAAAAAAACAACAACAACAACAACAACAACAAAAAAAACCCCAGCATAGTTTATCACCACCCCTGTTTCTTTCTACCCTTGATTGTTACTCTGGTTGTTCTGCAGTCTTCTATTATCGCTGCCTGGTGTAAGCTATAGTAGTATGCGCATCTACAGACTGGTTTGCAACCATCTAGCAACCACCAGTTACAAGGGAAAAATGAGCATTTCCTGACTGATTGAGAGTGGTTGCTGGGGGTTAATGGTAGCTGCTGGGGAAGTGGTTGCTAAAGATCCAGTTGTGCAGGCCTATTCAGTGACCCCATGGCAACCAGCAGGCACCAGGAGAAAAACTGCCAACTAGTTGACCAAAATCTCCTTGTGATTGCTTTGGTTGCTAGCATATTGCTGTGGTTGTAGTTTGAATTGAAGTGTGTGAGTGTGACACAGACAGGAAATAGAGAAAGTTCACCTTCACAGTAAAAGTTGTCTCAGCTCTGCAGCTAATTTATTCAAGCCACAGTTTTTCTTCAAGTTGGGCTAGTGTATAGGAAGTATTTGCAGACGAACATTAAAACCACATGCAACACCTGTGGGTTTTGGTGAAACATCATGTTTGCTTACGATTTCATCCAGTGAGAGCCAGAGACCTCCGCGAACTGGTGCCAAACATTCGAGGAACATATCCCATTTAAATTTGGCTACACCTACCCTCAAATGATGTACAAATGATCCAAACAGGTCTTCCAGAAAGCCGTCATGAGACAGAAGCTGCCCAGGAACGGGAGAAGTCCTTTAAGGGACAGAAGGTGCTTGGCCATGTTTAAATCAAGTATACTTTCTGCTCTTTCAGGATGGAGTCATAGAATTTTTATCATTGGAGCCTCTGATAGCCACTACATTGTAATAGCTACTTTCAGCTGCTGCATCAGTCAAAGGGGGCCACCACATATTTGACTTACAGTTGATACCCTTCCTTATGCAACCCCAAAGGGATATGTTTCTCCTCCTGGGATTTAACCAGGGATTGTTTGCTTGTCAGGCAAATGTGTAAATGTGTACATTATGTAATCCACATTTTCTTAATGAGGATTTAAAGTAATTATTGCCACTTTAAGCCACATCCACTGTCTGTTAAACAGAAAGCTGGAGGAAACTGCTTGTATGTGACAGTAATTTAACTCAAAAATTGAAAAGCAAGATTAGTGGTTCAATCAGGCAGAGGCTCATAATATTACTACTTAACTATTAAACTTTAAAGAAAGGAGATGATGGTACAAAGTTGTTTTTTTTTTCTTTTTTGTTTTGGCCTTAGGACAGAGGCACATTAGTTGTTTTCACTGGTTTCCAGTCTTCACGCTAACCTAACCAGCAGCTGGTTCTGGGCTTTCTTCTAACAGACATGTCATATTTCTCTCAGCATTAAAAAAACAAACAAGCCCATTTCAAAAAAGAATCTATTTCTCTAAAGGGGAGCAACTTACAATTTCAAATTTCATCCTTGTTATTCTTACTGCTGAAACATGAAGTGTACAGAGTTGTATTGATACTTGGTGGGGAAATACCTTTGTTATTTAATAGTTTATCTAGATGTAATCCAATCACCAATCTTCATATTATTGCTGTTCCCTCAAAAATCTGAAAATGTGAGCTTCCGAGTATTTATTTTTTAAGCTTTTACTCATAATCTTCATATTTCATATCAAAACACTTTGTTTCGTCGAGCAGATATATCCGCTTTGAGAGGAGCTCAGAAATTTAAATGACTGTCTTGTGATCTTTTGATGATATTCTCCATCATATAACTGATTTGAGTGTTTGCCATGCCGTCTGATTTACACTCACATATTAAAAACTATAACCTGGATGCTTCACTGGATAAATCATCTGTTTGCAAAAGCCTTTGCTCGTTTCACCAAGCCATTCGTTGTACCACAAATTTAAATAAACACGCAGGTTCCAAGCAGTAGCTCTTGTCTGATTTACATGTTTGTCTAAAGAGGACATCTGTGGGAGGTTTTTGAGATGATCTGCTGAGCTGTAACATGCAGGTAGAGCTAACCAACTACCATGCGCCTTCATTGCAGCGTGCAGTATGCAGATGTGACTACGTGCAACTATGCAGATGCACGTGGCTGGAGGATCATTGATATTCTGTAGCACGTGTGAGAATCTAATCAGTCCATGTATGGGAGCGGAGAATTGTCAGCCACTGTGGCCTTGAACGTGAGGGCCCATCGGAGAGGAGCATTTATAGTAAAAAAAAAAAAAAAAAATGTTCACTTGGTTTCACACGTGGACTACGTGACCTATGGTCGTGGTTAAAAAGTAAAAACACCTCATCCCAGATCTTCTGGTCATTATCAGGTCTTAAATGAGGTTAATACACCCTCAGAACAAAAACACATGAAATATTACACTATGTCATTATGAATTTAACATAAGTTGAGCAAAAATACAGGTCCCATAAGTAAAATTTACCCATGCCTCCAAGAATAAATGCTTACATATACTATATTTCTCATAGTATGATTTTGTCATGAATGTTGCCCCCTTGTTTTTCTCTGTAAAACATTAGACAGCTTCATTCATTTTTATACGAAAAATGGAAGGCACCGTACGATGACCATTTGAAAAACAAACAAAAAAATTATTCAAAACAAAAACAAATTATTCACAGTCACCACAGCAGGAACCTCTGCAGTATTTAATTTGGCAGATTTTTACGCCAGATGCCCTTCCAGATGCAACCCCCAGGGGATTTGTGTCCTCCCAGGAGGGGAGGCTTGTTAGGAAAATGTTTAAACTGCTACACCACAGAAAACAAATATTTAGCATACTGTTGTTTGCATATTGGTCAGCTTGTTTTGTGGCTTTAGCAGTTGTTTTGTTTCTCTCTTTCCTCCTTTATGAAAGGGATGATGAGGTGGTGCTTTTCCCTTAGTCGTCTGCGACCAGTTTCTGTAAAGTCGTTCCTCGATTTGTGGTCAACAAAAATCACGTAAATATAGAAAATCCTCCCTACAGTTCTCTATTGGAATTTGTTTAGATATAAATGTAGATATTCATTGATAGGCTAACTGGTAAAGTGCTTTAATTTTTTCTTTTGAGTAAGTTTAAATGTACTTTTTCTTTTTTTTTTTTACAATTAGTCCAAATTGATGACAGCTGACTCATTATTATTATTAATTAAAGTGAGGTTTTTATTCTCACATAAGTTTCATATTGTAAAAAATATATATATACCTGTGTGTGTATGTATGTATGTATGTATGTGTTGTGTGTGTATATCTATCTATATATATTACACATATGCTAACAGGTCACTTTATTAGGTACACCCGCTCAGCACTTTTAAACACACGTCTAATTAGCCAATCATATTGCAGCAATGCCATGCATTTAGGCAGGTGCACAACCTGCAAAAGTTCAAACTGGTCATCAGAAGGGAGACAGATTTAAATGACTTTGAATGTTGTTGGTGCCAGACAGGCTGCTCTGAGCATTTCGGAAACTACTGAAGTGATGGTACTTTCCCCACACATGCATCTCTCAGGTTTACAGAAAATGTCCAGTAGTGGTGAAAACACCTTGTTGATGCCAGAGGTCAGAGGAGAATAGCTAGACTGCTTTGATCTTATTGGAAGGTAACAGTAACTCAAATAACCACTCATTACAACCAAGGTATGCAGGAGAGCATCTTTAAATGCAAAACAGGTCCAACTTAGAAGCAGATGGACTACAGCAGCAGAAGACCACACTGGGTGCCTCTTCTGTCACCAAACCAAAACTGGACAACAGAAAACTGGGGGGAAAAAAGAAGCTGTGACATTTGTAGTGTCAGAATTTAGTGTAAACAACACCTTGGATAGCTGCTGGTATGGTATCAAATATTTTCTTTGCACTTTGGGGACCCCTAATATCAGCTGAGCATTGTTTCAATGCCACGGCTTACCTGAGTATGGCTGCTGACCACATCCATCCTTATACGACCACACTGTACCCATTGTCTGATGGCTCAAATCATCTCAAACTGGTTCCCTAAACATGACCGAGTACCTAAATCACCAGGTATCAGCCCAATGGAGAATCTTTTGGGATGTGGTGGAACAGGAGATTCACATCATGGATGTGCAGCAGACAAATCTGCAGCGGCTGTTTGATGCCATCATGTCAAAATGAAGATTTTTTTAAACATTCTTTTATCAGCTAATTTGGGTTCAAGCATATATCCCCAGTCTTCTGATTATTATAAGAATATGCCTAACAAGCTCACGCTTCTCTAACTTCCTTGTTTATTTTAAAACTTCCATTCTTCCGCCTGTGCCATGCAGACTCAAGTGACATCGTTTGAGGACATGCACCGGATTCCTTTTCTGCTTATGCAGCGTGAAGGGCACATGTAAGTTTTACTCTACCCCCAAAATGTGAAAAACAATTTACAAAAAGATCAAAAACTAAACTAAATGCAACATAAAATTAAACAACTTGACTTTTTTTAAGGCCGAGATAAGATAAAGTGACATAAAGTGCCCAAAGGTGACAAAGCAGACAAAAGACAAAGGAGATCTTTGGCTGATCACAATAATGTAGATACATAAAGGCAAACAGACACTAACAAAGTGACTAAATAGAAAGAAGTAAACCAAACGGTAATGTGTAACCAAATAAAAAACATGAAAGTAAATCATTTGAATTCCCCCCATGATGTATCTTTAAGGAATTCACTCAGACAAAAAACTCAACAACAGTTGCAGAAATGCAGTCCCAGCATGCTTCACAGGCTGCCTAAAGCCTCTCGTCGCTGTGGCTGTCTCCACCCTCCGAGTTGGAGTAAGATCTCTCATCTGCTGAATCTCCAGTCCACACCTTTTGTTCCCCCTGCTTCTCCTGCTCCCCTTGTGCCCCCTGCTCCCCTTGTTCCTCCTCCTCTTGCTTCAGTTTGTTGACATCCAAGTCCTCCTGTTTCTGTTCACCTGAGAGTGTCTTGTCTTCGCTCGAGTCACACAGCTGGACCTGCTTTTTGCTCCCTCTCCTCCCATTAAGACCGCTCCTGGCCAAACATCTCCGCACGGTGGATGGGTCCACCAGAGTGCCGCTGGTCACCGCCAGCTCTGAAGTGATGGCGCTACTGGACATGGTCCGATTCTCCAGGAAAGTCAGCTTAATGAGTCTTTCGTCCGCTTTACTTAGTTTCCTCGGTCGGCCGCTGCGTTTCTGATCTTCAACCGTACCCGTTTTTTTGTGCTTCTGCAGAAGAGCTTGGACAGCACGTTTGGAAACACCTGTCTGACGCGAGATTTCCGCCTGTGAGAGACCTTGCTGGCGCAGGCTCACCACCTTGTGTCTCGTTTCTATGCTCACTTTAGCCATGGTGTTTGATCTTTCTGATCCCAGCAGCCTCACCTTTATCCAGGTAGACCAGACGACGGGAATCACAACCACAACAGCAGGCGGAAGAGCGTCTTCTTCTGCGTCTTCTTCTTGATGCATACTTGAGGTTGGCACACATCTAATTGGTGCATTACCGCCACCAGCTGGTCCCGATAGCGTTCACCACTTAAAGACTTCAACAGCCAGGTTAACTTTTAGTTTCTTGAGGTTCTTGGACCACTTTGCGTCTCCTGTCTTCATATTTTTCATAGTATAATACAACATGTTTGGTGTTTTCCTGTTATGAATGACAGATGGGAATCTCTCCTGCTCCTCCCCAGAACCATTACCCTTTCATTTCGTCCTTTCATTGCTTTTGAACACCTTTTCAACATTTTCTGCATCACGATGCTCTTTATTTCTGTCAGCCTGAGTTTAACTAAAACATTTTTTTTTCTAAAAAAAGAACTTTATTCATGAACATCAGTGCAAACAAAAAGGCACTCATAATAGTTGTCTTGATTAACTATCATTAGTGTCTTTTTATTATAGTTATTCAAATAACCTATATACACAAGGTGGGGTGGCTGTGCTGGGAAATGAGAAAGAAAACACAAGATCATTTTAAAATTGTATATACATGAAGACAGGTAGATAGGTAGGTAGATAGATAGATATACTGTACACTATGTGAGTATTTTGAGTGAATTTGAGTCAAGTTATTGGTCTTGCATCTTCGAGTACTATGAACATTTCTCCCATGTTCATTCATAATCTGTCAGTAATGTTTTCCTCTACTTTGATAAGAAACTCAGAAACAGTGACCATCACTCTAATTGATGCATCTGCATCAATGTGGACAAAACTGCAGTGCTGATGAATGTATGCCTGTACTGTATGTTTAAAATAAAATCCCCATCCTTACTCTTTCTTTTCCATTAATGTAAATTCTTCTGTGGCGACAGGAAGTATTTGTTGCTCTTTTGCCTGTAATGGCACGGTCTGACTAATGTTTAACTGGCCTATTTTAAGTTCTGTTGCTCTCTGAGACAAGCCAAAGCGCTTTGTTTTTTCTTTCCTTTTCCCATAAAGCTCTTACGAACGCCTCATGTTGGGTGACCCCGTTCATGGCCCTGTAACTTTGCTCAGCAATTTAGTGTTAGCTGCTCCCTTCTGATTTCTAGTGGCATTCCACCCAGCTCTGCTCATTATGCTGCTATTGGGGTTGTTTTACACGCAGGTGCGCTGGGTGCAATTGTATGTTTGTATGTATCTGATGCTGAACCATACACCACAATACTCCATAATCTAATACTGGCCTGATAAATCTGCTGTATATGGTCCTCATAGAATTCCTGTCTGCTTAGTTATTTTCAATTAACCCTTTAAGACCTACCATAGAAACAAGTCCGCCAGAGCTTATATTATATTTTTATATGTTGTAGTGCCATTTTTGGGAGCATTTCAAGTTGCTATACATCAATACAACCATTATAGCCCAAATTTTAATAATATGTCTACATTAAGTGCATAGTAATTACATACATTGCAAAAAAGTGCAATAAACTACAAAAAAATGTAAAATGGTTTTTGTTTTTTTAACATATATTTCTAGTTAGAGAAATTTAAGAGGCTTATCCCTCAAAACTGCAAATGCAAAAAAGTTTCACAAAATAGTTTCCCACCGCAGGAAATTTATTTTAAGTGTCTTCATAGTTTTATTTTTGAAATACACCAATTTTTATATACCGCAGGAAAAATGAAAATAAATATTATACTGCAAATTTGCAAAAAAGCAGCATGTGCATCAAAATAAACTATTTCCAGCAGTGCAATATGAGTCCTAAGCATCCCAGAAACGACACAGAAAGTCATAAAGTCAAAGATAACTTTTTAAAACACAAGTATAGGCTCATAAGGCCCTGATGGTAAAAAACTACATTTCCGCAAAATGACGTCACTTCCGGTTTTGGGCAGACAATGGAGGACATGCGATAGTTCGCGCTGATGGACGTAGGAAGTGTTACAAACAGCTGATCGGATCGGCAAAGCGTGTTTCTGGAATATTGTGTTTTTGTTGCTGCAAGTGCTTTTTGTGCAGTTTTTGCAAAGCTATATGTGGAAGGAAACTGTGACCTAGGACAAGCTGATGGCATAAGATGTAAGTACAACTCCTCCGGTTTCATATGAAAAAAAATTATTGCGCTAGCTTACGTGGTTGCAGAGCTACCGGGATTTAAAAATAATTACGCAAAACAGAGCGTGCCCGCTCCGACCGGCTTTAAAGGGTTAAACATATGATTACATTTAACACTCTTGCATTTCTTACTGTTGTCTGTGAAGGTTCTCAGTCATCCAGGTCATCGTAGTCAAAGGAGCTTGCAAAGAAAAGCGTCTGGACTTCTTTAAGTTACTTGAAGACTGTTTTTTACTGTTTTTCTTCATTGTGTGTGACCCATGTAATCCTTTGATGAAACCACGACCAACTCTTGATTACTTACATTTTCCACTGTAAAGCTTCCCATGACATGTATGTATTTATCCTTCTGTAGTTTTTAAAAGAAATGTATCTGTGTAATAATTTGTAATGCCTATTTTCCTCACTTTCACTAGTTGACCTTCTCTTCACATTGTGTCATATTGTGTGTCATGGCACTTTGTTTATTTACATTGCCTTTTCTAATTTCATGTTTTAAACATAAAGCTGGTTCAGTTGTACTTCTCCCTCTTCTAAGCCCACTTTCCATTTTATTATCTATATAGTACTTTAACCATTCATTTCATATATTCTCCATTGTTTTGCAGATTTGGATTTTTAAGTTACTGGTCTGTAATTTCCTAGTTCTCTCTCATCTTTCCCTGGTTTTCACATTGTTACTACCACTGCTAACAGAGCCTCCCAGTCTCTGTTACACAGCTCTAATAAGATATTTCTAGATGTCTCACTAAGATTGGTTATTAGATTTTCTCTTAGTGCTGAATCTGCTTTAATACTGATTCTGTCCCAACTTCCATCATTTAGACATAAAACATTTTCCACATTTCCATTTCTTCCTCGTGTCTCTTGTGCAGCTGAAGTAATTTATTTTATTTCAAATATTTATTTCAGTTATGTCACAAGTTAAACTAAACAGGACTCTCTGGCTGCATAGTACTATGCACTCGTAGACACGATATGAAAACTGTTTGACTCCACAGCTAGAAGGAGAGCCTCCATTACTCCTGGATGCCAGAGTCTAAGATGTGTGCTGCTGCAGTGTAATAAAGAAAAAGTATGCAGAAACCAAACAGGTGTGAAAATACTAATTTAATATGAAACAATAATATGGACTCAAAGTAAAATGAAATCTTCCTATCATGTTTGGCTTATCCACAATTATTCAAAATCAAAAGTTATTATCAAAGTTTACATCCTGAAATAATACTATGGTTAAATTTTAACTAACAAACTGCTCTTTGTCTAAAGCAATAGTTACTTCTGAGTGGCATTCATTAATTCCAGTGAGAGCCTACTACATGGGTTGTAAAAACTGACTGACTAAAAACGTCTTCCTGTGTCTACCCCAGTCTTGAGACTGTGCAGGGAGACACAGCAAACCATACTGGTTGAGATGGAGTGCCTGTGCAGTCTGAATGGACTGCTTGTTTCACAGCGAGCCTGAACTGTACCTGCAATAAAACATTTAATTGCTGTCTACAAGTGTCCAGACATATTCAGGGGTGCTGCAGCACCAGGTGAACTCACCATGAACAGTGTGATTCTAAATTTAGGGTTTAATTGGTAGATTTTTGGATGCTTGCATTTATTGTCCCGGTTTCAATTTTAGCACATGCTGCAAAACTACTCAAAAATTCTAAAAATCATACAGTGACACTTACATTTTTAGATCCTGCTCCCATTTTGTTTTGCTTTTTTCTAATCTGCGCATTTAAAAAGTGTGAGAGGAGCACAGAAAACAACGAAGCACATGAGCTGCTCTCTTCTCTTCTATATCCTGCAGTCTCACACATGGTCTGTCTTTCTGCCTTTACTGAGCTTTGTATTTTTAAATGGTAAATGGCCTGTATTTATATAGCGCTTTACTAGTCCCTAAGGACCCCAAAGCGCTTTACATATCCAGTCATCCACCCATACACACACACACACACATTCACACACTGGTGATGGCAAGCTACATTGTAGCCACAGCCACCCTGGGGCGCACTGACAGAGGCGAGGCTGCCGGACACTGGCGCCACCGGGCCCTCTGACCACCACCAGTAGGCAACGGGTGAAGTGTCTTGCCCATGGACACAACGACCGAGACTGTTCAAGCCGGGGCTCGAACCGGCAACTTTCCGATTACAAGGCGAACGCCCAACTCTTGAGCCACGATCGCCCCGCATCTTTTACCGAGACAAGAGTGTCAAATAACTGAAGGTGATGGTGAAATACATATCTTGTTAAGGCCTTTAATCAGGTTAAACCCACCAATTTCAAGATCAGACTGCACATTACTGCTATCTCTGGGGAAACTGAATTGGTGCAGCAAATATAAAAGGGTCCACGGGGGGAAAGGTTAATCATTTTTACAGGATAACACATGCAACATGGATTAAATGGATGTCCACCAATTTTCACAAAAAAATATGTCTATGTGACCTGGTGAATGCCTGCCTCTTTAAAATAAAAATAAACTTTTTAAATAGGCAGAACAAGGAGAACTTAACAACTTCTCAAACATCTCATATTTATTGCACTTTCTACTGAAGTGTAAAAATATATTTCAGATAATAATTTTTCTTTGAAACGAATACAAACACACAGCAGCTGAACATGTAATATAGTTTTGCACTTTAAGTTTAACATGAACTGATCTATATAAATATATAACTCTGAGATTGTTGACATGCTTGTCTCAGGATAATGTGATGGATAAAAATGCCTGGTCCTGATTTTGCAGACATGCAATCCCAAACCTATCAGGAAGCTCCAGCGTGCTTCACATGTCGCCTAATCTGTCTCCTCACAGTCCTGTGGCTCTCCAGCCTCTGTGTTAGAGTCAGAAATCTCAGCTTCTGAATCTTCAGTCCAGACCTCCTGCTCCCATTTATTGTCATCCCAGTTCTGCTGTTTCTGTTCACCTGAGAGTGTCTTGTCTTCGCTCGTTTCACACATCCGGACCTGCTTTTTGCTCCCTCTCCTCCCATTTAGACCGCTCCTGGCCAGACTCCTCCGCACAGTGGACGGGTGCACCAGAGTGCCGCTGGTCACCGCCAGCTCTGAGGTGATGGCGCTACTGGAGATCTTCCTATTTCGCTGCAAAGTCATCTTAATGAGTCTTTCGTCCGCTTTACTTAGTTTCCTCGGTCGGCCGCTGCGTTTCTGATCTTCAACCGTGCCCGTTTCTTTGTGCTTCTGCAGAAGAGCTTGGACAGCACATCTGGAAACACCTGTCTGCCGCGAGATTTCTACCTGTGAGAGACCTTGCTGGTGCAGGCTCACCACCTTGTGTCTCGTTTCTATGCTCACTTTAGCCATGGTGTTTGATCTTTCTGATTCCAGCTGCCGCACCTTATCCAGGCAGGCAAGATGGGCGAATCACAACCACAACAGCAGGCGGAAGTGTTCCTTCCTCACGGTTTTCGTTGGCACTCCGACCCTCGTCGGAGATGCTAAAATGGCATAATGAGCTGATATTAAATTTCAAAGCTAATGTTCAGTCTTACTCACAAGTTATTGAATATTACCATATGAAAATGCACGTTTGCTCTTTATCATTGGCATTTATTTATGGTGGACGTCCTGGATTTCAGAGAGCTGCTGCAGAGATGAGATCACTGCAGGGCTGCATTCACATCCAGTGGAACCAAAGGGCAACAATGTGTTCCTGGGCCCCCGAGAGAACAGCAGCTACACTGATTTGAAAAGATTGGCTGATTACTGCACCCATCAATATTATTAATGAGAAATATTGATGAGCTGTCAATAAAATCAAGTGTTGATGAATTAAAGTAACCTGATTTATTATTGACCTAAACAGGAGGGGGG